CTGATCACATTTTAAATTGTTATCTATAAAAAAAAATACGCCAAGTATATAAAAAAATCCCAACTTGTACGCAAAAAAAGTTTATTATTTATCTCTAAAAAATAACTTTTAAAAAAATTTTTCCGTGGAAAATAATTTTCATACAAAATGAAAAACTAAAAATGATTTTCCTGTAAAAAATAAAAACCTTTAAAAAATCATAACATCATACTTCAATGTAGATCATTCTTCAACTATATGATGTTACAGTAATAAGTGAATGAATTTATAGGTACAGTTACATTGAGCTACTTTACACAATATTTTATTGCCTATATAGGATTTAATAAAATTAACGATGCCAATTCTACATAAATAAAACTATACTGTATGCTATTCAATGTTTTATATGTGCTAATTAATTGTACTTACTGTCTGCTACTGCTAACTCTTTATAACGCAATATGTTACGCTGTTTAGCAAAGTTCTTCAGCTGGGATTGCATACGGTATAAGACCGTATGTCGCGTACCGCGTCGCTTGATACGTATCATATACGTTTCGTATGCACGCACATACACATACACATTGTCTCTCAAGACTTGCGTGAAGTTGGCACCCGAGTTTAACTGAATCAGATTTTGAAGTTTGTTTCTCGTAGAATTTTGCCCGTAGATGATTGTAGTAATCATTATTTTGTTTGTAGTTGAAAAATTAACAAATTATTAATTATTAATTGATAATTAAGAATTAATTTACAATGAAAATTTCAATGGCATCGAATTTCTGTGACAAATTGTTTGTAGTTGTTTGTAGTACAAGAACTTTTGTTTGTAGTTGAAAAATAAACAAATTATAAATTATGGTAAAACTTAAGATTAAGGGCGACCTCACCGATTTTAACTTATTTTTCAACTACAAACAAAATAATGATTACTACAATCATCTACAGGCAAAATTCTACGAGAAACAAACTTTAAAATCTGATTTAGTTAAAGTCGGGTGCCAACTTTACGCAAGTTCTCTCAAGGCGTATTTGCACACTAAAGCGAATAATTGTACATGAGCGCTGCAAACGCGCCTTGAGGGACAAAATCGCTTTGCGTGTGTGCGTGCGAGCATACGTACGTGAGAGTCTGAAACTTATGATTATGATAATGATGAAGAACGAAAAATGTCACAATTCTGATATACGATCATCATTTCTCGGGATTGACTGCACCAATCTTATTCGAACCGGTCGCAATCGAAAGCTTGTATTCACATTATATAATAAAAATGCCGTTAGATTTTTTATTACGGCTTTAGTTATTAAAATATCTTAATCGAAAGTTTACTAGATCTAAAATTTCGGATAAGCTACTTGGTAGCGTCGCAGCCCCTGTACATAGGCAAACCGTTGACAAGCTGGAACGAATTTTTATATATACTTGGCGTCGCGACGCTACCGCGTCGCTTGATTATATTCCAAAATTCTCAAAAGATTTGTTGTTTTGCGATTATTACATATTTATCAGAGAAAAAATACTATGCATAATAAATATATATAGATATAATAGCAAATCCATGGATATGCATAATATCTTTTTCTAATGTGCCTTAATATGTCTTGTTTTTCCAATGATTTATGAAACCAACAAAAATGTTTTGTTTGTTATTACATATTCTATATTTCTATATTGTTATATAGTTTATTATATATTCTACAGTGTGTTTTTTAATATAAGTCTTAATACAATAAATTACTATTGTTGTAATATTTCCGTTCTTTCTTTTTTTTGTCTCTTTTTATTTTCTTAAACTGTTGACTGTTCATACGTTTTTTGTACAGTGAAAATTCTTATGTATGTATTGTTTTTATCACGTATATTTTCAATTTTCTTTGCGACAATTTACTGCTATTGCCACTTCCATTCAAATATCAACGGGAGTTGCCAAAAAATGGCGGACCAATCAAAAGTTGCTATCGTATGGCCAGATTCTATTAGAGGGAGTCTAAACAAAAATGTATGATTTGATACATCGTAACTCCGCGAAAAAAAATCGAACAAACTCATTTTTTTTAATTTGCAAGAAAAAGTCCATATTTTACGATAATTATCATGCGATTTGCGAAAAAAATTTATTCCACCCCGTTGAGTGTATCAAATTATGCGATTTTTTGGAGACGTAACACATCCTTACTTTTGAAAAGACGGCGGCAGAGAGGGAGAATAAATTAAAAATCTGACAAATACTTTTTAAAGTACAAACTTTAAACTTGATTATGAAAAAAAAAATTTCTAATACGACAATTTTTGGAGTTATACTTATTTGAAGTTATGGGAAATTTTGACATGAAATTATCTGTGATAATTTTGTTGACGAGTGTAAATATTTTTTTCTGTTTCATCCTGTTCGTATACACTTAATTTTCATTTTTAATTCTAACGAGAAATTTCTCGACAAATTAATATTAATATTAATGAAATTCTCGAAACTTCTATAAATTATTTCAATTTCTGTGATAAAAAAAGAGCTTAGAAATTAATTTATTTACTTTTCTAATTATCGCTAAACCTTAAAGAAAAAAAAGATTTACAAATAAATTACAATTAAGAGAGATCTCCGATTTCAGATAATAATGCGATTTTTTTTCACGAATTTCTGCTAAGCGATTTCGTGAGATTGTATTTGAAATACGTCTGCGACCAGAACATCAGCGGAAAGATCTGCTCCAACGTGATGTTTATGATCTGGGGTTACAGCGGCAAGCAGTTTAATCACGTGAGTAATAATTGCGCAAATATCGCAAAGATCGAATCTTCGACCATCACGTTTCGATTCGCACCTCAGATCGAACTTTATGTATGTTTTTTATTGTTCTCTATTTATTGTTAGACTCTGCTACCCGTCATCATTAGTCACTTTCCGGCCGGTGGTTCGTTTGATACGCTAGTGCATTACACTCAGGGATTCCAGTCGGCCAAGTTTCGTCAATACGATTACTGTAGCGCGGAAAATCTATTAATCTATAACTCGGTGGAACCTCCGGACTATGATCTAGCGAATATAACAGTCCCGATCGCGTTATTTTACGGTCCTGGCGACACTCTGGATGACATCATGGTAAATAAGGAAATATTCAATATACATATATAAAGGAAATACATAGTAGAGATTGATACGCGCTAATTGTATATAAGTCAAGCATCGTATCTTCCTTTAGAAACGGGAAGATAGTTTGAAAGAAATCGCGTGCGATAATTTACGAAAGTATTTCTTCAAGGATGTGAAAAAACTCTACCGCGTGTTGCCCAATGTAGTGGACGTATACAAAATTCCATGGCGCAATTTCAATCACATGGATTTTATATGGGCCAAGGATGCGCCGAAACTCGTATACAAGAGAGTTCTCAAGATAATGAGAAGCGAGAATTTAAATAATGTTACATCGATGGAGAAATGTTACGTAGACAATTAAAGTAAGAGATGAATGTTACCTGCTAAACCTTTAGTTAGATGGATACAATTGAGGGTAACTGCAATCGTTAAAATACAATGAAATGTATCTAAAAGAAATACCTATAAAAATTTAATATTATTTAAAATTAGGACAGAGGCAAATTAGAATAATAGTTTTTAAGCAATCGTTTCAGCGAGTTTTGGATCCATTGCGATGAATCATAAAAATTGCGCTAACGATGTAACAAATACATTTAAATTACAACATACCCAGCAAACCAATATGTAACTGTTACATAACCTAGGGAGCACTTAAAAAAACAATGTTCATATGCACGAAAATTTTATTTTGCAGAATCTTTTTTATAAAGCTTCTAAACTCACTTCTCTAAGCTCACTTATACTCTTTGATGAAATGCCGAGTGCGGGGTTTACTGATTAGGCACGTGCAGATTACAAATCTTTTATATTAAGTAAATGTTGACGGCACAGGCCGATAACTAAACTGTAATTTTATCATTTTTTTTCACTTTTCATATGAAATGTTAAATTCCGCGCTCCGTTATTATGTATACTTTAATTGTGGAAAAGGATTTTTTGATATCTATAATCAACAAAAAGATTTTGCAAAATAAAGTTTTTATCGGTAAAACAGACCCTTTGGAATCCCCTTAATAAAAGAGTTATTATTGAATAAAGTCTGGGCCCCCCATTAGCGCCGACTTTTAACCGGACGCACGTCGGTGAGCTGCCCGCCTCTGGTAATGTGCGCCGCCGTAGCGACGGAGCGCTCACACAACTACTAGGCATGCGGCTAAAGGTCGGCGCTAATTAAACAGACTTAATCAATAATAACTCCTTTATTAAGCGTTATAAAAAAAATGGTTCAGGACTTTTTGACTCAGTTTGACCCAATCTATCTTCACCTTCCGTTTGGTCACTTACTTGTCGGACATCCTGTATATACATATATTTACGATAGCAAAGACAATAGCAAAGACGAAATTAAATTTACTGTTAAAAAAAAATTGTTTATATACAATTATTTAAAAAATATATATAATTTTATATATTCATATATGTTCTTTTTCTCATTTGTTTCTTCTGTTAGTTTATTCAGCAAGAATAATTAGGAAAATAATTTTTGCATTGTTTTTTAGAAAAAGTGAAATTTATGCGCGGTTGAACTATACTATATTCTATATAATTGTCTACTATAATTTTATATATTTGTATATAAAGCCGGTAAGATGGCAACAGAAATATCGCTCACCTAAAACGAAATGCATTGGAGATGCATTGATATCTACAGCCTAGACCTAAGTTTTTATCTAATTTTATCAAACTAGATAAAAGTTATACAAAGAATTACCACCGTAAAATCGCTGCTTACATGTTTCTCCCCGCAAATTCAAACTAGTCTTTACAGATTACAAAACTGTTTAAGAACAAAGTCCATTGATAAGGAAAAAATATATAGAATGTTGCAAGATGATTAAAAAATGTTAGCTTTTCAAAAGAAGATACCTACAGAAGACAAGAAAAATATTGGCATGAAATAAATTTAGAAGCTTTGGATAAGTATTTGATTACAAATCTGATATACAAAACTTTAATATATCTGATTTTAGTAACTTTTTTTATCAATATAAATTCAATTATTTTTGTTTACTTATTATATTCATATAAAACTATAAATATCTCTATTTCCTTTCATTATTAATATTGAAATTTTAATATATTGTTGTAATATTGAACCATATAATTTTTAAATGTATTTATATATCTTTCCGATTTCATGGAAAAAGTTTCATGAAAACAAAAAAATATTTTGATACATAATTTCTTTCAAATTTCAAAACTTTTTGTTAAAAATTGCAAATATTTTGAAATTATAAGCATTAATAAATAATGAAAAAATAGCACATTTAAATTATTTCTTTGATATTAAGGATGAATTCACAGGATTTAAATTGATTGATGGAAAAGTCGCAATACAATTTATATAAAATATGTTAAAATGATATAGGCATCAAAATAAATTACATCATAATTACATTTACAATATCTTGTGTTGGAAATTAACATTTATTTTCTAGTCTTTGCAGAAATTGGCGAATATTGCGGTAAAACAGATAGAAAGCGAAATGCTGAAACAAACAGAGATCAGCACTTATTTCTCTGCACGAGATGAAGGATTAGCAGTGAATTTGTAGGACAGCAGATAAAAATGTAATTCAATGATTAAGACTACTATCGGATTTATTGGATATGTGCGCTAATTTGATGCGCCTTCGGTTTTACACTGTAATTCCGACACAATCTATCTTCTACATACATGTATATCTTTTCTAATGACTTATCATCTTATGACTAATAAAGCGATAGTGCTTCTTTTTTCCAATTGATAAAAAAGAATCTCAAATAAAATGACGATTCATTCATTTCAACAGTAAGTGCCGTGGAACACTCTCGTGTCGTTTTCTTCTCGTGTCTTATCGTGTTTCTTTTACTGTTTATTGAATCTCTCATCAATACAATGAGATTGATCGGAATCGTATATTTGCTATTTTTTTGCGGTCTTGATGCGGCGCCGGCGGATGTGACCACCGAGCTAAGTACACTCATGAGGAGAATAATATGGACCAGCCGAAATGGGTCGAACAACACTGCATTCAATCCTGATGTCATTCTCAACACAGTAAGTATACTTTTTCATTCATAGACGAGGATTAAAGTTTTCGTTATTTTAATTAGTTGAACTTTTTTAATGCAGAAAATGATCAACAATAATCTTACGCCGCAGATGTCACTCTTCTATTAAAAACTAAAATTTAAATTTCGTAAAATTATACATAGGCGTTAACTACCGCTACTATAATAACATTTATATCTTTTCTTTTTGCTTTTTAGAAGGAATTTAAAATTCTATTATTAGTACTCTAATTAATATTAATTTCTTCTTTTTTTGTCTTAAGATATTCAATTATATGTAATATATATATTATAATAGCAAAATAACCATTAAAACTATTTTAATTGCAGTCATTTAAGAGATAAATATAAAAAAATAAATCTTTAAAATTTAAATCCTTTGTAAAGTTTGCATTTAAAATAATTTTTATAGAGCGTCATACTTTTTATTATGCTAATTGTAAAAGACTTCGATCTGCAGTTTCTGCAAATTACAATCACGTAACATCTAATTAAATTTATTAATGATTATTTGATTCCGTTTTAAATATATTACACTTATTTATTATTTTTATTATATAATTACTTCTTATATTTATTAAATATTGATATTTTATATTTAATGCTGAAATTAATAACTTATTTTATTTTATATTTAATGCAGAATCTAATACCCCATTATTTAGAAAATAAATATTATGTGCAGTTCGTCGCACAAATTGATTTCAACTTTAGATCAATGTTATTTTTTCTTATTCATTTTTTTCTAGCCGGAGATTATATTTATTAAATATTGATATTTTATATTTAATGCAGAAATTAATGACCCATTTTATTTTATATTTAATGCAGAATTTAATGCCCCATTATTTAGAAAATAAATATTATGTGCAGTTTGTCACACAAATTTATTTCAACTTTAGATCAATGTTATCATTTTTACTCATTTTTTTCTAGCCGGAGATCATAAAAAAGGCGGGTTATCCCGCGGAAGCTCACGTTGTAATGACGGAGGACGGCTATCTTTTGACGTTACATCGTATCCCAGGTGGCAACGGTTCTGTACCGGTATTCCTGCAGCACGGCATTCTAGGCAGCTCCGCCGATTGGGTTATTCTTGGCAAAGGCAAAGCACTCGGTATGAAATTATAATCAATCTTTTAATCAATCTTCCGGGATTAAGAGATATTCCGAAATCATTTCATTTTTATTGTAAAAACGCTCAAGAAATAATCTCAAATTTAATATTATATTACATAATTTTATATGAAATTATATAATATTATATCGAAAACTATATATAAGTTATGTAATAACTATTGCAAAGAATGTTCTCTTGCATTCTTTTAGCTTACCTATTAGCGGATCAGGGATACGATGTTTGGTTAGGCAATTTCCGTGGTAATACCTATTCCAAGGCGCATATTTCCCTATCGCCATCGAACTCAACATTTTGGGACTTTAGGTACTTGGATAAAATAAAAATAATAGTGCTTTGAAAATGATATAATGATAATCATTGTGTGATTTAATTTGGCGTCAAATGTAAAGATTTGATGCACTTTTATGCTAATACATACTTATATATTTATATGCTGTACTTATCTTAAGTTGCACTTATTTAGAAATATGTATGTGGTATAAAAAAATACAAAGTATTTATATGTAAGTTGCATAGAAATAAATATTACTGTATTTTTTGTCAAAAATCACATCCTTTTTTTTGACAAAATATTCGGAAACGCATCGTTTTCGAGATATTTCATTTTCTAATATGTCAATATAGTGCATTTGTGCTATTTTTTGATTTTTTGTATAAATAATTTATCGTGGAGAAATTTTGGTAATTCTGTTATAATTAAGTATAATATTCATTTAATTTAAATATAATATTTATTTAATCAATATCAGACTTATCATATATTTGTACACAAAAAGTCATTTAAATTAAGAATCAAGAAACAGCAAACGCACTGTTTGGCAATATAAAAAATAGACATCTCATAAATATTGCATTTTCAGAATTTTGTCAAAAAAAAGAAATTTTATTTTCAGGTAAGAGATACGGTAACAATAATAAAATAGTCTGCATTCTGCGTACATGGAATACCTTTTTTATTATATAGATATATACATATGTACAATATATAGATTTGCATATATTACATATATTACGTACATATATATACATATATATACATATGTATATATTTAAACTATAGTATGTACAATTTAAGTAGCATGTTATATATATATTATGTTATTTATATTTTATTATGTGATATATATTATGTTATATATATATTATATATGGCAATATATATACATATTTACATATTTTATGACGATATACTGATTGAATTTTTCATTAGCTTTAACGAACTGGGCATCTACGATTTACCCGCGATGATTACATTTATTACAAATACAAAATCGCAACCACTACATACGTACATTGGTCATTCAATGGGCACAACAACTTTTTATGTAATGGCATCGGTGCATCCGGAAATCACTCGAATGGTGCAAATAATGATCAGCCTCGCGCCAACGGCCTTTATAAACCATATGAAAAGTCCTATACGATACTTGGTTCCCTTTTGGAAGATGTTTCAGGTAAAGTAAAATATAGGTGAATACTGTTAAAAAATAATTCATTAATGCAAAATAACTGTTTAAAATAATATTATTTTGTTAAACACAAAAAATATTTTATTTCTCATTTTTATACTATATGTATAAACAAACTAGAGAGTATACCATTTTTTTTAAATATAATTATTAAATGATCAATTTTGAAATATAAATTTCTTTAGCGTGAACGCGCGGCTGGACATCAATAATTCTTAATTTACATATTAAAATTACAAATAGACAAAATAATAAAAAACAATATATTGTAGCTAATTTTAGATGGAATTTGTTTAATAGTGTATACAGAATGAAATTCATCTCTTGTGACAAAATTAAAAAAAAAAGATTTATCTCATAAATAAAATATAAATAAAAAAGATGAAAGATTACTTTTTGCAATATTTACGAAAAAATTGTTTTTCAAGATTGAAAAATTAATATATTTTTTTGTGTTGTAAGTACTTCACATGTTCGTTTTTGTTGTATATATTTAATTTTTAATCATAATTTTATCGAGCTGTGCTTCGACCAGTTAAAATTAACAATAAGATCTAAGTTTCCATAAATTATTTTAATTTATTTAAAAAATTCTTAGAGATTAATTTATTTATTCTCAAAATTACCGCTAAAGTTTAAAAAGAAAATTACAAGTAAATTCCATCACGATTAAGAGAGATCTTCAATTACAGAAAATGACACAATTCTTCTTTCATGGTGAATTTCTGCGAAGCGATTTTTTGAGATTTTTTACGAAATACGGCTGCGGCCGGGGTTTCGGCAAGAAGATTTGCGCCCACGCCATGTTTCTGATGTTTGGTTATGACTACGAGCAGTTTAATTACGTGAGTATGATAATCGGTTACAACTACCAGCAGTTTCATTACATGAAAATTTTACGAATGGCATGATCGAAGTATAACTCCGTCGCAATCGAAGCTTCGATCGTCATCAACAACTCTCGCGATTATAATTCAGATCGGACTTTGCGTAAGCGTCCTTGTTGTCGCCTACTTAGACTCTGGAACCTGTCATCTTGGGTCACGATCCTGCCGGCACCTCGGCTAAGACGTTGGCGCATTACACTCAGATATTCCAATCGGGCAAGTTTCGCCAATACGATTACGGTCGCGCGAAAAATCAATTGATTTATAATTCGACGGAACCTCCAGACTATAATCTAGCAAATATCACGATACCAGTCGCGTTGCTCTACTCCAAAAATGATTGGTTGATCAGCACAGAGGTAAGTAACAGAAAAGTAGGTATTCAAATAACGAAAATATATAGTGGAGAGTATTCGGCTGTATACAAGGTGTCCCAGAATTAGACCGACAAACTTCAGAATAAAAAGAATATAAAAGACACCAAAACAATTTAATCCATGTCCACAAATGAGCTGTTTTGGCACTAGAGATTCAAAGACTAACAAGGGAACTTCACGAATCCAAAAATTCTGATTTTGATCAAATTTTACACATATGTAAGGGAGGGAGGAGTAAATAGGTGAATTTATAAATTTCCATTTGCGGCCCAAAAACGATTCTAAGGGTTGAAATCACCCCTCATATGTAGAGCGGCTTTTTGCTTTTCTCGATATATCTCGAAAATTATTCGAGACATTAAAAAATGTTTTATACAAAAGTTTCATGGTAACAACACCTCTATTTAACCACATTAATAAAATTTTGAAAAAATAATTGTTTTCAAAGATTTTTGCCCTTGTTAGTCTTTGATTCTCTAGTGCCAAAACGGCTCATTTGCGGACACGGGTTTATTGACAAAATTGGCTTGTTTTGGTGTCTTTCATAACCATCTAAAGTTTGTCCGTCTAATTCTGGGACACGCTGTATAAATCGATTTTTTATGCGTAGAATTGGAAAGATAGTTTAAGAGAAATCACGCATAACTAACAAAAATATTTCTTCAAGGATGTGAGGAGATTGTACCATTCACTGCCCAACGTAGTGGATATGTATGAAGTGCCGTGGTCCAATTTCAATCACATAGACTTTTTATGGGCCAAGGATGCGCCAAAACTCGTATACGAGAGAGTTCTCAAACTCATGAGAAATGAGAAACCGAGTAATCTTACATCGGTGGAATAATATTACGTCATCAATCAATATAAAAGATGAATGTTACGTGTTAAACTTTTAAACATGGATACGATTAATGACAACTGGAATCGTTATTTCAATGAAACGTGAACTTTTAATATTTTATCTATAATTAATAATCTTATCTATAATTAATGCCGAGGCAAATTAGAATGATACACGCGTTTTTAAACAATTGTTCCAACGAATAATGAATTATTGCGATGGATCGTAAGAATAGCTGCACACCAGAAAAATATGACAAATACATATAAATTGCGATATGTCAATATAAGGGAGGAAAGATGTTGAATAAACAATTATAATATCTAAACCGATTTTGTATTTAACACATTATATACGCGCTTATGTATCGATAACAGACTTCTATAATATACTATACTGCGTTCACGGAGAGAACGACCTCGCTCCGCGCATTTACAATTGGGCAGAATATATATACAGGGTGTTCCATTTTAATCGCCCCAGGTAAATATTTGGAAAAATATGAAAGATATAGAAAAACGTTTTAGACAAAAGTTGTTTGGTCCGAAGAGGGACATAAGATGGTGTCATTGGTTTGACCTTGAGTGAATGTGCCAAGGTCATATGGAGTTCAACTTTATTTTTTTTTAATGGAATCCCCTATATGTATTGTGATTTGCTGTCTCGCGCGCGTCCGCCGGATCCCTCTCCAATCGCAAAGCGCGGGCTACGCGCCAGTCGAAAAATTGCGAGAACCGTACCGCAGTCTCCAGAAAGGCGTCATTAATCGAGATTCTGTTCATTATATTAATTTTGTTTATTATTTTTTCTTTTGTATGAATATTTATTTTGGGATCCTCATCGGAGGAGAAGGCGGGAGACCGATTTGCGGCAACCAGAAACACATATCGGCGATCTTGAGATTCTTAAGCGACCTTTGAGGGAAGATGAGCCAGCATTTCGTTATTTAAAACAAGCAGCGGAAATCTTTCGACGTCACGACGGGATCAGGACCCGCACGCGTGATGCGCGACGCACGGGACAACGAGCGAATCCTCGCGCAAGGATCCAGGACCGTGCAGAACCGCTCCCCTTGGAGGTACTGCATTAATGTCGCCGCCGCAGAGCGCAGTCCGCAGGAAAATACAGCAACGAGGGTCGCAACCATATTTCCGGTCAAGACGCCCGGCCGAGATCTCGCAACGGCTCCGTGGAGCAAATTAGGCCCCATTAAATTATCGTTAGTGGTACCGGGGGCGCGGGCACCCCCGATACGATCGTGAGCGCGTCGCCCGCAGCGCGTGGTAGCACGTAATTGGTCGCGATAATGCGCACCCCGTGTGCGCAGCCCCGGCTGGCCCGGAGGTAATGATTTGAGATCGCGACGATTCCGGGGCCCGGGACCAGGGACAGACCGGCACGGACGCGTGGGCTAGTAAGAGTAAGACGTTCGCGGGCCGACAAGGTCGATTTTTCGAGAAAGAGGACGATTGCGGCCGCCGAGGCAAGCGGAGAGGATTCCCGACGACCGCCGCAAGAAAGGACCGAGGCCGGAGGACGTCGTTGACCCTTTGGCCGCCCTCGGGAGAGATTACGGTGCCGGTGAGGTTATCCTCCGCTAATAATCCACGCGCGATCACGCCCGGGATTGTATCGTTCTGTCGTCGTCGCCGTGAATTCGTATTTTGGCGTACGGGCTGAGCCCGATTCTTTAGTGTAAATTTTAGCATCACGGCCACATTGTCAAGCGATTCGAGCCCCGGGGCCTTAAGAGTATCGGGTTCCGTGAATAGAGAAAGTAATATCGGGTTTGCTTAACCGCGTAACGTCTCTCTGGAGATCCGGATTCCGTATATTGCGTGTGCGTCGGTTATCACACGTTTAGAGCATAAGTCTCGATTGTATAATATGTCTGTTGTCCGAGTGTGAGTGTCGGTCGCGTAAAGTGCGTCTCTTTTTCGTTGTTTATTAATAATCGCGTCTAGAATTTGTGTACACGGAAAAAGAAAGTTTGCTGTCACAGCATATTTTATGCTTTCGTAGCAAATTTCGTTAGTTATATGGACAGTAAAGAGATTTGCTAAGAATACTAATTTTATTTGCTGAAAATATATTTGCCAATCCTGCAAATAATGTCGTCAATTATTGAATCGGTGTTTCTACAATTGAAACGGACTCAGTTGTTAAAAACAAATATACGATTTCTCTGCAGAGGGTCCGCCTTATATCCCCGCTTTCTACTTCCAGATTGGCTCGCTTGACCTTCGCCGCGGGATTATGTTTTAATCGGTTTTAATCGACCATTTTCCGCAGGGTATAATAACAAACTGTTTTTATTCTACCATTGACATACTTTTGCTGCATCAATAACGCAATCTGTTTACATGAACGAATCAAGTTTGCTATATTAGAAGAACACTTTTGCTGAATCAACAAGTTATTTTGAGTAAATAAGCAAAGTAATTTTGCTATATTGATAAAAAAATTTAGCTGTGTTTAGTAATTTCAGCAAGCGCTTTTTAATAATTTCAACAAAGCAACTTTGCTATATTAGCAAAAGGTTAGTGCTCTGTATTAACAATGCATTTTGGTTATATTAGCAAAGTAATTGTGCATATTAGGAAGGTAATTCGCTTTTTTAGTAAAGTATCTTTGCAGTAATATCCATTCAGGTTTACTTTCTATCTAAAAAATAAATAAATACAAATATATATAAAATCTAATAAAAATAAAAATCAATTTAATTATATTTTAATATCTGTTATTAAATTTTAATATGTATTTATTTACCTCCAAACATAGCAAACCTAAATGGATAGTACAGAAGATATTTTACTAATAAAACAGTTTACTTTTCTAATACTGTAAAGTTGTTTCTTCTCTGTCTGCAAACATACACAAATATGAATCCAGAATATAATGTATAAAATTGGAAATGGTTGCAGCAATAATAATATAAACACCTTATGTCGCACATTATGCCAACATTTTATTTAGAAAAACTATATAGAAACTCCAGTAAAGTTGAAAAATACAAGTTGAACAATACAAGTTAAAAATACAAGTTGAAAAAGACAAGTTGAAAAATAAATCATTATTTAGAACAACGTAATACGCAATACAATTCACCATTGCTTATTCTATGTGAATAAATAGGAAATGGATTGAAAAGATTCTCTTAAGTTGTAATCTTTATTTCGTTATAATTTTTTGAAATTTCATATGCATGAACATGAGAGTTATAGCCTATAGTTTCATATACAAAACATAAAAATATTGAATTATTATTTTGAATAAAAATCTTTGTAATCTCTTCAAAAATAGGCCCTGTAGCAATATCATAATCTATTATTAAAACCATTCCTGTCTGATAATGTGTACCCTTGTATTGCACCCAATTAGAGACAAAATACATTTTATTTTCTAATATTGGTAACATATCTTTAAATAATTCGAAATTATCAATTAAGGTTATATCCATAATTTCTCCGGGACCAATTTTTATTTTAGGTAATATGCTTTCGCATGATTTTAGTCAAAATTGTAATTGGTGCTTTATGGCTACAGATTTGGCAATATTTTTTCTACATGCATTAGTATAACAAGATTTCTTAAGAGATCTATGCTTGGCTTCAAAGCGCATGGATGAATAATGAACAAATGATCCTGACATTTCGAGCACTTTGGCATAATGGAGTAAATGATGAAATTTCGCTTTCAGAGTTTATTTCCTCCCAATTCTATATATAATTTGTTATGTTCATATACTAAATGATTTAATAATAACGAATCATCTTGTGCTAAAGTCTTTGACAATAAAATATCTAAAATTTGTCTTAAAAGAATATATAATTGCCAAAATATATCATTTTCCAATATCAGATCTCCAATAAGAACACCAAAAAATCTTGTAAAGCATAACATTTCGGAAGCAGTCATTTTTAATTTATTTTTCTTTAAGTTATCTCGAGAGATTTGCGGAGGCCTGTTTGATGTATCAATAGGGCCAAAATCAAACATGGCTAAACGAAAATCTAAAATATCCAAAGAAAAAAATTCGATATTTTTGTCAAAATGATTAAGAATTAGTAGATTGTCATAATGACATACTCCTTCCAGCACATCATGCATTATATCTACAGTATAATTAGATGTAATATGATACGAATTAATTTCATTAAAAACGCATAGTTCTTTTATTCCAGTAAAAGCACTATTATCTATCATTATATCTTTTTCATAATTTTCTTCAGATCGTAAAAGTGCTACCTTTTGTTCGTAATCAATTTCTGTTTCGCGTTTGGTGCATTTAAAAAATCGACAAGAATATCTACTATTAAAGGATTCTATGAATCCAGTCATACTATGCAAACCAAGATTATCACCTAAGAGAAGAGCAAGAATAAAAAATACTGTTTTATTCCCTTCTGAAGTATTCATAATTATTCCTTTACTTTCTAAAAATTGTAATTCCTCGATCAAAGGTGAAAACGTTCTTTTATTGCCAAACCATTTTCTATCTTCGCTATGAAATAATAAAATCAGGAATATATTATCGACTATAGATTGACATTCGGGAGGAAGACAAGAAATTGCACAATAGACAGCGCCTAATTTATCACAATGAGGGCCCAAAGAATTATTAGGTTCAAAGTCGTCATAATAAGAGAATAGGGGCAAAATAATATCATCTTTACCATAAGAAACCATTTTACGTTTCCAAAGTGGACTTTGAATAAAGTTTGTTACGTACTGTGAATCTTCTTTCAATGATTTTATATATGAAATAGTGCTTTCAAATGCATAAGGCAATTTAAAAAATCTTCCCAATATTTTTCTTAATGCTATAAATTGACCATAAACTGGGACATGTTTCGCTTGAATTCCATATCGAGTACTTACTCCCTCTAACCTAGGACCTATTAAATATTCTTTTGATGGAATGTATTCTCCACATGTTTCAAAATGTTTAAATACCTTATATTTAGTCGAGAAATGTTCAAAAGGATTTTTTATAATGTGAAACATTAAATCAATATCATTTAGAAATGCAGCATCAACATTTATAGATATACACATATTTCTTATTTTATTCGATAATAAAGGTAAGCATCCTTCAAGAATAAGTTGCTGAATGTCATTTATAATAGTCTGCACATGACCACGTGGAATACAGGAATTATTATAAAGTTTTGCAATTAGTACTTCGGCTTGATTGTCGACAAATGATTTGAAATTTTCAAAAGAAATATTATTTTCTACAAATGTATGATTTTCAAAATGAGAATAATGAGAACTTAAATTTTGCTCTTGCATTTCTAAATTACTAGATATTGTACTTTGCTTTTTGTTTGGCAAAATATTATGTTTTTTCATAAAATGCTTTTTTAACGTTGCCCATTGATCAAAAGTACGACTACAATTTTGTTCGCCGCATTGATAGATGTTAAATATATGTCTTTTATGTGCAATTCTAAAACGTAGTCCCAAAGAATCAATAGAAGGTAAACTTATCTTACATTGCACACAGTTTGCCATTTTTCAAAGTGATTGTCTTATCAGTTAATAATTATCAATAATTTGCAAATCACAGTTTTTTTACTTATAAATATTACGAAATAATTAAAAACTTACTCTACATAACTTCTAAGATTCACAATATTCTTTGGCTAGGACAGTTACAATACCTTCTTGTTTATCCCATTGAGTTTTGATGTTATATATTGCTTTTTGTAAAAATAACCAAATTCGTTCAGATTCCACAGGATAATTTGCATAAAGTGCATGGAAAGCTTTAAAAGTAACGTCGATAGCCTTTAACGTCGATTCCACTTCATATAAGACATCGTCGACGACAACAATTGATGAATTTCTTTCAATGTAGATCCGACAATAATTGTTTGGGGTTGTAATGTCAAACCAAAATTTTTCAATTTTTTTCTTTTTATATCCAAAGATGGTTGAATATCTCCAAGGATCTATACATAGTTATGTAAACTTTAGAAGCTGATACAATTAAATTAAAAGAAACAAACAAGATTATATATTTATACAGGGTGAGTTTTTTAACTTGAAACTGTAAAATATCTCGGAAAGTAAGCTTTATCAAAAAAAATGTTTCAGACAAAAGTTGTAGGGTTTGGAGGGGGCCATATGACAAAATATATATATATATATAGGGTGTCCGGCAATTTTTGACACATCCGAAGTGTGAAGGTAGATTGGATCAAACTGAAAAGAAAAGTCCTGTACCATTTTCTTTTATAACGCTTAATAAAGGAGTTATTATTGAGTAATTGGGACAATTGTCATGTAACCTCTTTAACATCACATTGAGACGAATACGCGTTATAGAAGTATTTTTCAAATATATTTTTTGCGTTTAACCTTCGTTCCTATATAATAAGTGATTTGTATAAATTCTATAAGTCAATGTTCGTTTTTCTTTATCATTCAAATTTTTTCTATACTTCTGGAAATTTATATAAATCCAGTAACATATTATTCTAAGTTAACTCAGATTGTTTCAGTTCGAGTATAAAAACACATATAGGATCTTTAAACATGCAAAATGTTCAATATTTTTCTCGTTGGTAGTAGTCACTATCAGATTGATGGAAACAAATTACCATCAAATTTACAAGTAATAAAAGTGTTATTTTATAACATTCGAATATTCAAGTTCACTTTGCGAGAAAGCGCAAGTTTAGTTTATGAAGAAATAAATATTTTTTGGAAAAAAGCAAAAATTCCAATCAGACATAAAAGCCGTTGTATTGATAAAATCGAAAATTTATACAATGAGTGGAGAAAATTGCAAAAAAATGCAGGAAAACAGACTGATAATCAAAAAACTAAGGAATCTTTGTTTATTTCCCAATTTGACAATTTATTTGATTTTTCTCATAATGATGCTTTAATAATGGTAAACGACGAAGTTAAAAATTTTCTACTGAATCAACCAAAAACCTGAACATGTTGGGTTTATTGCTAATATTGAAGAGATACAATATGGTAATAATCGTTTTTTGATGTTATAAAAATAAATGTTCTAATATCTAAAATATTCTTTATAATTAATCTAGGAACTTCTTCCCAAACCGATTCATATTCTCAATCAACACAAACAAGTACATTTAGTTAGGCCAGCCTTGGAAGAGATCCTAGTTTTATTTTGGAACTTAATGACGAACTACCTCCATCGAAAAAATATCGTGGAACGTTGAACATTCTTACTCCAAAACTTTGTACAATGTTGGATAAATGCAAAATCAGTGATCGTAATACTATGAGTTTACTAATCTCTTTTCTACAAGCCGTTGACCTCGACGCAAGTCATTATGTTATAAACAGAACTTCAATAAAACAGAGAAGAGAGATGTTTCGTATAAAAAGAGCCGAGGAAATCCAACAAAGATTCAAAAGTACCGATCTTTGTAGATTAATTGTCCATTGGGATGGAAAATATTTACCTGATATTATTGGTAGAACTTTTGTAGAACGTCTTCCGGTAATAGTTTCGTCAGAAAATGAAATTGAACTACTATAAATACCAAAGCTTGAAAGTGCTATAGGAAATGAACAGGCTAATGCTGTCTTCGATGCGTTACAAGAGTATGGAATAAGTAATTCAGTAGTTGGTTTGTGTTGTGATACAACCGCTTTGAACACTGGACGAATTAATGGTGCAGCAACTTTAATAGAACAATTACTAGGAAAAAATATATTTCTATTTCCATGTAGGCATCACATATTCGAGGTCATACTAAGAGCTGTTTTTGAGGTTAAAATACCAAAATCCAGTGGGCCAAATGTGCCACTTTTTGGTCGATTTAAAAAAGAACGGGATAAATTAGATTTAACTAAATATAAAAGCGGAATAACGATCCAATAATTTACAACATTTTAAAAGATGATTTTCCTGAAATTCGCAGATTTGCAGAGAAAAACTTAACTATAAATCAAAACAGAGATGATTACGTAGAATTGTTAAAATTGACCTTAATATTTATTGGAATAATACCAGAAAAAGTTACGTTTCACGTTCCTGGAGCTATGCACCAAGCAAGATTGATGGCTAAGGCAATATATTGCTTGAAAATTTTTATATTTCGAGATACCTTTGAGTTGAAATCAAAAGAAAAAGAAGGGATAGGAATGATTTGTACTTTTATCGTGAAAATATACATAAAGATATGGTTCATAGCACCGATGTCTATAAAAGCCTCATATTGCGATTTTCAGTTGATTAAAACTCTTTATGATTATCGAAGTATTGACAAAAAAATATCAGAAATCGCTTTAAACAAACTTTTAGATCATTTATGGTATATGAATCCCGAAAATTCCTTAATGGCCCTATTTGATGATGAAGTACAAATAGAAACAAAAAAAAAAGATAGTCGAAAAATTATTAAATGAAACAAATGTAATAAGTACAGATGACAAAGATGATAATTACGATAGAAACTTTAAAAAAGTTATATTATTACAATCGGAAATATCAAAAATACTAGAGCAAGGCTTAGAACAGTTTATTAATCAAAATTCTATAAATTTCTTTCGTAAACTTCAGTCGGAAACAGATTGATTAAAAATCAATTGTGAAAATTGGTTAGAAAACGAGAATAATTATCAAAGTTGTTTGAGTATCGTAAAAAACTTGAGCGTTGTGAATGACGTAGCAGAAAGAGGTGTACATTTAATGCAAGAGTACAATCCCACACGGAACATAAACCTCTAATGGATAGACGTCCAGTAGACGTCCATCATGGAGATTTGAAACCTCTATTAGATATCCATGTAATCTCCTATAGACATCTACTAGACATCCACAATTCCGCATTTCTTACTTCCATTCGACATCCATTAGACGTATTAATAGATGTCACATAGACGTCATATGGTATAATCATGGATATTTCATGGAGCTTTGATGGATGAATAATAGCCTTCAAGGCACACCAATATCCCAATAAAGTCACATCTTAAATTGTAAGACGGTAACATTCCACGGAGATTAATAAACCTGCCATCAACTTCCCAGCAACATGAAAATGTTCGTCCAAACACTCCAAACTCATTCCATTAACATCCCAGAGACTTTGCGCGTAACGTTGTATTAATATTCATACAACATGCCACAAAACTCCTAATATTATTTTTCATAAGGAACTTTTGCAAAAAAAATATTATGTTGCCAAAAATTGATTAAACACTTATTTTTTCAATAGCTTTCAATCATTTTTTCACTAATAATTGAATAGTTCAAACTTTTTTCTTTTTATATAGAATCCCGCAGAAAATCCGAAAAATTAAATAAAAGGAGCTTTTTATTAGTGTGTTTCTGGAAATATAAGATATGTGTATATTGTTGCATCCCTGGATTATGCCCGTCTTCGAGAGATCGTCTCTAAGCACGTTGCCGGGGAGTTTGCTGTTAAACAACGGCGGACATGTTGTTTTGGGTCGCCATCTGAGTTTCGTGACAGATGTCAATCCGCGCGGACGTGTTTAAGATTATTAACGATATTCTCTGTTCTCTATTTCTGTGAATAGTTATATAGTTCTGTTTCATTAAAGTTCTTGTTCTTTCATAACTAAGAGTTATTATTTACGACGCGGAGTGTGAGTGCCGGTTGTGTCTTGCGTGATTCGATTTATCTCGATTCCGATCCGCGGACGCAACATTTTGGGAGCTCGTCCGGAATCGAGCTGGACAACGTAACAATTTTGAAATAGCGCAAAACGAGCTATGGCGTCGGAATAGCAACAAGATCTTACATCTGGGATTG